CCCCCTAGAAAAAAAGCTGTAGTCATGTAAGGTTACCTTTCCTGTAGAACAGGTCTATAACTTGTTCTTTTATTAAACAAACTAAATAGCTCTGTTATTTATTTTATTTACACGACAGCATTTCATTTCTGTCTCTACATGGTTGTGCGTTTACAATTCTCCTCTGCTCTCTGTATCATGTACGGTGGAGTTCCGGCTCGAGTTCTGCACATTTCCTATGCATACATTTAGAACATTTTCATCATTGTCACATGAGACTCAGATTGCACAGGTATCTATATCACACTTGCAAAACGATTTATCGTGCAGCCGTAATAAATATCTATTTCAGTAGACCTCTTACAGTGGTTACCAGGGGCCTACAGATTCTGTATTAATCTGTATTCACCCTTTCATCTGAGAGTAGAGCAGTCATGTTATCACCTGTACTGTAAATCTGTACATCCACCTGATCACTAGTGGGAGGGCAGACTTCTTACTCCATTTATCTGTTAAATGCAAGGAAATATAAATAGCAGTTTAAGCTTAACTGTATCTTTCCTACACTGCTTCAGTACTGCTCAAGTTTTCTCTTTCCTCCTGAATATTTTATCAAATTTTTAATGGATCAGGCTGTTTCTCACTGCTAGCAAAACATGAAAAGAATCCTCATTCAGGCATTAGTTTTTAATGTTCTTGTTCAAATTAATTAATCCGCATTTTTAAAGCTCCTCTTCACTCACAAATATACTTTTTCAGATTTTGCATGAAGTCTTCATCTTTTTAAATTTGGAATGAATCATGTTGATAACAGATGCTTATGACGAGTTAAATTCCATTTGGAAATGTTTCGCTAATGTTCAGTATCTGCGTGATTGCTTCAAATATTCAAGGGTCACAAACGGCAGTAGTACCTGATTAGTTATGGTTAAAAAATTATTTTTTAGCACTTGTATGCATTTATGAAGTGTTCCTTAATAAATACATGTTTTAGACTTTACAGGGTCACAGAGAGCTTTAACAAATGATTAATAAAGGTTAAGTAATGGTTATTCACCACCGTGATACATTTATGAAGTGTTAGTTCATGCATATATGGTTCCCACTTTACAATAAGCGTCAGAGCATTAATAAATGCGTAATTACGAGTAAGTAATGCTTACAGTATACAGCAGGGGTGGGCAAGTCAGGTCTTCGAGAGCTACCACCGTGCATGCTTTCCAACTATCCATGCCCTGTCCACTGCTGCATACCTGCATCATGTGTGTTCAGTCAATCAGAAGCTGGAAGATACCACATTAGATGAACGTGGAGCGAGGACAAAGTGAATTCGTTGGTTGGAGGTTGGACAAGTAAGTGGACAATTATTATGCTTAAATGAACATTAAAACAGCCTTCTCCTAATGAAACTGCTAAGCTGTGAACTTCGTGAAATAAATGTTAATATCTTTATTGACAATTTACTAGTATTACCAAGAGACATTTAAGTTGTTGAATGCAATGCTTATTATTGTATTATTTAACATTTAGTTAATGCTTATTACTGCATCAACAAATGTTAGCAGTGTCGTTAAACACTATTAAATAATGTATGAGGTATTACTTTAATTAACATGAAAAACATTAGTACATGGTTAATAAATGCATTAGTTACCTATTAGTTAATGCTTATTACTGCATTAAGTACGGTTAATTAATGTACCCTTATTGTAAAGTGTTACCAGATTATATTTTTTTGACAATTTCAGACTGAAAAAAGCCTGACCAATAATTTTACTCATCCCAAGCAAAACCATTGAACAGCCTTACCTGCCCTGTCAACCTACTTCCAACTTCTATGGCTAGTCACCAGTTACGAGCCAGGGTTAAAGCAGTTTAGCCATGGACCAGAGGTCCCCAGCTACAGTTCAGGGTCACAGATCTGGGCGGGCAACACTGTATTCGAGAAAGTTACAACTAAAAGGAAATTGGATACTGCAAGAAATAAAACCAGAATTAACATCAGTGTGGCTTTTGAACAACAGCAACAACTGAAGAGAATAAAAGGAGCTGAAAAGTGACGCCATGGTGGCCGCATTTCTACTGGACAGGTAATGGATCTAAGACATGACGTAACGCGGTGCTTTATGGGTTAAAGGCGGGGACCACATAATACGCGCTATATTGCTACAAGAAGCTACAAGTAACGTTAACGTTCGTTCACATGGAAAAATTATGGTCAAAAAACATAAAACTAACAAGTGACAGGTCAGTAAAATATAAAAAGAAACTTGGATTAATAAAAAAAAAATCCAGTTTAAAAAGCTGCTTTATGATAAAAGTCTTATGGGTCAATTTAAAAGATTAAACTGTAAAATATGGGGGTAATTTTGCCAGCCTGGCTTGAATACATGTAATTTCCTGTGAAGGAATTGTTAAAGATTGAAATCAATCTTAAATACACATTTGGCAAACTGAATGGAGAGATAAATGTGGAGATAACAGATGGGAAATACTGCGTCTGTGGGTGCACAGAGACAAACAATGTGCCTGTGAGTTGAATGCCTTCTTGGCACATAGGCACAGACTGGACTGACAGTCTGACAGGCCACGTTTCTCTCTGCCTGCTGCACATTCCTCCATTTGTCTTCTCTAATGAATTGACAATCTCACTCCCTCTGATGTTTACACAGAGATATTGAGCCATCCTCAGACTTGGCTGCTTAAAAATACCAGACACTCATTTACACATCACGGGTGCATGAATTAACATGCACAAAGACAGACACACACTCCTATACGTGTGTGATGTGCTAGGCAGAGCAGTGCCTCTGGTACTGACAGGCTGCTGCTGAACGGGTCAATTACTTTCAGTCCAAATGATAATGACATTATCAGACCATTTCTTTGTGGTGTGATCCATGTGGCCTCCAATCCATTATGCGGTTTCCCCACAATTGCATTTTTGAGTGATTCATGTCCTGCTGTCTAATTATTCATTACTCCTGAACGACTGCGGGAAGAAGGGAAACGAATAAAATGAAAAACACAAATGTGATTCCTGCAGCTCAGGCAGTAAAAGGGAGAAATGGTATGCAAAGCTGCCTTCTGACTGTTTCAGATTACATGAGAAGGAAATTGTTTTGTCTGTGATGAAAAATGCCTTTTCACAGACTTTTCCATAGCCTCAGAGTTTAAAGATGGCTGCAATATAAATATCACAACTGTGCACCTTGACTGAGACCACTACACAGACACAAATCTGATGCTGACACTCCTTAACTCTATGACGAAAAAATTCTGAAACTGAACTACAGGCAAATGCAAGCATGTGCACATGCAGCGTATTTGGCCGTACAGATTGTAAATCAGTAGAGATCTGTCAAAGCCCAGACCCAGGAGGCTGTCTTTTCATTACTTTGGCTGCCATAATGTAGTGGCACTTTTTAAAAACTACAACATACCAACATTTCTTAAAAAAAAAAAAAAATCTGGAAATATTAGCATAAACTGGAAACACAACAGTATTATTGTTAGAACCATTTGTCAAACTACCACAATTCAAATAACAGTTGCATGACCACTGACTAATTATTAACCATTCATAGGATGGACTAATGTTCATAACCAAAAACTGCACAAAAAATCTCTACTGCATTCAAGAGCTTTCCTGATTATAAAATGAGCCATTTTGATCTAAACATCCTCTGAAGAATCGCATGTTATGCAGTCCCCATACTGAACAGACACAGCACCTCCCCAACCAGTCAAGACAACACAGCACCTCACATGAATAAAATGGGATCCTTCCCTCTGATGAGACGAGGCAGAACCATCAACATGTTTGTGTCTATTACAGAGATTACAATGGGATCCCCAGGTTGCTTCACCCATGGCAGTGCCCTCCACTGTTGTACAAGCAAACACACAGGCACTGGGCTCATGAAAGCAGCAATGATACCTCTCTCATGGTGCCAGCTCTGCTACCTCTCCCTTCCTGTCCTCGACCTTCCCTGCATACTCCTCTCTCCCCCCTCACCCCACCCAGCCCCCGAGGTGGATTAACTACACCCACACCTGGTCATTTTTCATTTCTGAGGACTCCAACACCAGTGGTCCAAAGGGACCCCAGCCACAAACCCCTCAGCTGTGAAGTGCAGTTTTGCTGGCTTGGTAAATGCTCTAAAGCATCCATAGATGATTACATAAACAGGGACACAGGTACACACCCGAGCTCAATTAGTTATAAGGCACTGTTTTTCTCACTTAGGGAACATTCTACTGCTTATATAGATTATTTTCTCCAAGGAAGATAATGGCTCATCAGAGTTCACAAATACACACACAGCAAATGTATGTGCAGGGTGCTGAACAAATAAGACACTAATGAAGGGCTATTTTGTTCTTTTAAATCTGCATGAGGCTGATTGTAAACTATCTAGATTTTAAAACGAGGCTGCAGCAAAGACGAACAAACATCCTGTACCATAAACAACAGATGGATTCTACTGTCAGATACGCACACTAACAAGGCATTTTGGATGCTCACTCAACTTGAGACTCATTGTTTAGTTGTCTAGTCCACAGCCCCACACGGGCCTATCTGACTTACTCCCACTGCTCTCATGGCACCATCTTCAGAAAAAAAGCTCTCTAGAAATGCACCGTATGCTATCTGCTCAGCACCCAACAACATGCAACACAAAGCACAGACAGTGGAGAAATTGGAAGCTGAGAAACCAGATATTTCTTTGTGGGGATAGTAAAAACAGGGATAAAAATAGGGAGAATAATGTGCTTATATTAATCAGGTGGCCAGAAACCTCCAAAAGAATCATCATTGCTCCATAAGCAACTGCCTGTCATATCAACTTAAAAGGTGATGATACAGTACGTCAGTGTTGTGTTCACAACTTTCTACTGTTACCCCAATGTTAACTAACAAGGAGGTTAGCTAAATGGCTTTTTTGTAGAGGAACCACTACAGAAAAATACAGCAAAACTAAACTGCTGCTACCTGACACACACACAAACAAACTTACCTGAAGTGTCGGATGTGTTCTGTCCATATCCCCCCATGTCAGGACCCAGACCTGGTCGTGTGATTTGTCATAGAGCATCTTCACTGGAAAAGGATCTGTTGCTATTGCCTAGAAGACAGAATTAATGAACAGAATTAAAGTTCTGTCTGTGATGCTAAAAACAAACATACAGAGTTTATAGAAAAACAAGTGGGAAATGTCCATTACATTACAGATATTAT